TTACAAATTACATGAAACCTTCGGTTACCCGGCCCAGATTGCCGGCATTCCGCATAACTACAGCTATAACCATCGTTGGGGTTATACTGGAAATTACCAGTTATTCCCCGACCCCAACTTGCATGACTGTATGCTACCATACACGTCAAAACCATGGAGATAATTAACAATTTCATATTGATTTTCCTGAAAAATAAAATAAATATTGTTTGAGTTCCCTAGTAACTAGCAGTCCTTAAAATCCAGTGTCTTCTCTCATCGTCATTTCGCCCTTCCCAATTCGACCTTGTATTATTCCCTTTTCACCGCTTCTCCGTTTCGCCCCTTTCCCATATCGCCCCCATCCCAATATGCCTTCCCAGGTCGTCCCTACTCATTTTGTTCCTTTCCATTTCGCCCCTTACCATATCGCCCATTCCTTTTTTAAAAATTTAGGTCACATAATAAATTATGCTTGTTATTGGTACTAGGGCAGTAGAAATTTGATAAAGAGTAAGTTGGAATGTCACTGCTTCAGTAAAACTTCCACACTAAAAACAAAATTAAGATTTGTACTAACTTTAATAGGTTGAAATTATATGTATATGTTTGACGGGTGCATACGTCCTTGTCAAATTTTATACATTGTTATTGCAAATTTTATTTCTGTATTCAACATACTCTTTATACGTGAATAAAAGGAAAGGCCGAATTGGGAAAGAGACGACCTAGAAAAGAGACGAAGTGGGAATAAGGGAAGAACATGACAGGGGTGAAATGAAAAAGGGGCAAGGTGGGAAAGGGACAAAATAAATAAGGGGTAAATTGGGAAGAGTCAAAATGGGAATAAATTAAGGGAGAATTGGAATGAGTCGAAATGAGAAGAGGTGATATGGGAATAAGTCTACAAATCCAATTGCTTTCCGATTCTACTAGTTGCAGATCAATTCGTTTGTCAGTATAAATTAAATAATTTTCTTACCTCAGAAATGTATCTACTTGGTTGAATATAGATTTTTGCTCTGTGTTGCATCTTCATATTTCTTACCTGTATTTATACTATTTAAACCGGACATACAGAATGATTTATTAACAGGCTTATTTCAAGATACATTTTTGAAATATTAAAGAAGCATTCCGCTTTTTTTTGTAGGTCTAATTTTTTGGGACACAAATTTGTGAAAACTATAACCAAAATCTAGAGAAATGTTTAATTAACAATTAGTACTCTACGTTATTAATTAACCCTTTCAGTTTGATCACGTGGATACATAGATATGAATAGCACAGTTTAGAAATATTGTCACGTATAATTCAAGACGTTTTTGATAATGGAATACTTTTTTTAACAAAACAATGGAATGCCCCTTTAACAAGATTTTCAAGGCCGAATGAATCCGGGAGCCTAGTAAAAATGCATGTTACAGCTTTTCATTACACTCCAATACAATTTGAAAACACTGTCATATGTCAAACCAGTATGTTCCAAAGGTTCACTTTCGATGCATTTCGTCGGCCTTCCACCCGGAAATACTAGAGGCAGATTAACTAGTTTGACAAGT